TGATGATGTTCACCTCATAGTCCACTTTTTCTATTCAAACAGTGTTTGAGGCGATGTTTTTGATATTGTCAAAAATGCTTTACATTCTTGTTTCCGGCAATTTTTTTAGATGTAGTCTTTTGCTGAGAAAAGAGAACATTGCCGCACAAAACATAGTATCAATGGAAATATGTCAATAAAATTACAGTATTCTGACAATCTTGTAGGTCCAAAAATACAATCAAATATTTTAACTACTTTCAGACTTTTTCATCAATTTTGGGTGTGACAAAAGTCTGTTATGCTTGGTGTGTATTAACTAAATAAGGTTGAGTATATGGCCACCAAACTCTTGCAACATAGGCCTGAGGTGGCACCATTGCACAAGTATAGGGGTAAACCGGTCCAAGCATAGAGGGTACAAGTTGCACTTGTCACAGCTTTGCTGCAACTGTCAGGTGCCTGCGGCACCTTAGGCAGAACTTTGAGGAGGCTCTCAGGGTCTTTCAGATGGGGTTTTTATGTTGTGAGAAATAGGTCTCAGAGACTGTAAAACCTCTATCCCCTATACCGAGTTAACGGAGGGATAAAAGCTTAAATCAAACAAGTAGCGTTTTTCAAGTAGCGATTGAGAATTAATCAACAACTGAGGAAAGTATGTACATGATGGTCTACTATATATATGTTTCTGAAAGTCAGCCATGAGGCGCTGACTGAGCTAACATGCAGTAGCCATGAGGCGCTGACTGATGTTCTTTGTAATAATTCTAGACTCGTGTCACGTGGTGGTCACGTGATCTGATATAACTATGTATTATGTTATCCGCGCTAAAGCAGCAGCTTAACATATCTTATCTGTCATGTGATCAGATGTAAAAGAAAAAGAAAAAGAAACTTAGCGCTTAGACTAGCGCTTCTGGTTCAAGTCGTGACATTACCCCCTCCTTAGGACTTTCGTCCCGAAAGTAGGGGTCCATCTTTCCGTTTTCCCAATTGAACAGTTGTTTTCGGACTCTAGTCGTTGTGAAGTTTTCGAAGGGTTGGAAATGTAATTGAAATCGGATCCGTCGGGGTGCACTAGGGTTGTTATCGTGGAATGTTTTTACTTTATCGGGTGAGTTGTTTAGATGTTGTTCGGGTTCCCACGTGCGTTCCTCTTTTGGATAGTTCTTCCAGTGTACTAAGTATTCCAATTTCCCCTTTTTTAGACGTGAGTCTAGAACTTCTTCGACTTCGTATTCTTCTTGTCCGTCCACTATTATCGGCGGTATTGGTTTAGGTTTCTGTTGGGAAGGGAATTGTGGTTCTTTGTACGGTGTAAGCTTTATCTCGTTGAAAACTGGATGAATAGGTCGCCATGTCGGTGGTAGCGCTAATTTATATGCCGATTCGCCTATTTTTTCCAGTATTTCAAACGGACCGTGTCTCTTGTCGTCCAGTTTCTTCGCTGGTCGATCTGTTGAGATATTGGTCGCTTCTACGTACACCTTATCTCCTACTCTATATTCTACTGCTTCTCTTTTCTTCTTATCGTACTGCTTCTTCATCTGTTCAGCTGCCTTTTGCAGCGACTTTTCTGCTCTCTTCCTTGTTTCTGTCATTCTCTTTACGAAATCTTCTGCATTTTCGTTCTTTACCCCCACTTTCACTACTTCCTGTGTTCTCGGATGATGTCCATGATTCAGGTAGAACGGGCTATATCCCGTCGCAGAATGTTGTTTGTTATTGTAAGAGAATTCTGCTAGGGTAAGCCATTCTGCCCAATCATCTTGTTTGTGGTTTACGAAGATTCTGAGATACTGTTCTATCTCTTGATTGATCCTCTCTGTCTGTCCATCCGTTTGTGGATGCCAAGCCGTTGATGGGTTCGCTTTTATCTGAAGGAGTGTATGTAGATCTTTCATGAATTTCGAAACGAATTGCGGTCCCCGATCTGAGATGATCTTTTTGGGTATGCCATGGTTCCTGAATACATGATCTCTAAATAGTCGTGCCACTCCTTCTGATGTGATCTCCATCTGCGTGGGAATTACCTTGATCATTTTTGTGAACCGATCTACTATTACCATTATCATGTTATATCCATTTGATTCTGGTAATGGTCCGATCAGATCTACCGATATGATCTGCCACGGTTTATCCGGGATCTCATTTGGATGAAGCGGTGCTGCTTTCTTTTTGTGGTCTGTTTTGGTTCTTTGGCAGACTTCGCATCCATCTACGTATCTCGTGATATCTCTGTCCATATAGGGCCACCAGTATTGTCGAGTAATTAGCTCCTTTGTCTTATATCTTCCTGGATGGCCTGCAATAACAGAGTCGTGGTTTCGTCGGATAATTTCTTCCCTTAACGCGGCATCCTTCGGTACATAGATCCTGCCTTTGAATACTATGCAACCGTCTTCGTCTAGCCAACCATCCTCTCTCCTCTCTATCTTTCCTTTCATCTTTTTTATCAGCTCATCTACATTTCCCTTTCTTTTTGTAATCCACTTTGAAATCTCCAATTCTTTCTCTTGACTGTCTGCGATCTCTTGTCTTTGTTCCGGAGAGAGAGTCATTCTTACAAATAGTTTCTCATCCAGTAGTATGACGTCTTCGTTGTCGTTTTCTCCTTTGTTATGATCTGATCGCCTTGAGAGAAGATCTGCTTTTATATGCTTCCTTCCTGGCATATGATGTATCGTGAAATGATACTGGCTCAACTCTGTCATCCACCGCGCCTGTCTCCTGTTCAACTTCTTGGGTTCTTTGAAATACAGCAGATTTTGATGATCTGTCCATATTTCAAATTCCTCTTCTGCGTCTATTAAGTAATGTCTCCATTCGTTAAGTGCCGTCATGATGGCAAGAAGTTCTTTGTCATAGATCTCGTAATTGCGTTCTGTGGGGTTTAACGCTTTGGAGAGATATGCAATTGGCTTCCAGTCATCTTTTTGTCTTTGTGATAAGACAGCACCCATAGCGAAGTCACTACTATCTGCTTCTACTTTGTATTGGCCATGTGGTACTGGGAGAGCTAACACCGGGGCTGAAGCTACACGTTGTTTTAATGTGTTAAATGCTTCTTGTTGTTCATTTCCCCAAATGAAGTCCTCTTTTCCCGTTAACTTGGTCAATGGTTTGGCTACTTCCCCGAAGCCCTCTATGAACCTTTGATAGAAATTTACAAATCCCAAGAATGCTTGTATGTCTTTCTTATTTTTGCATTCTGGCCATTTGCTAATTCCTTCTACTTTCACCGGATCCATGCAAATTTCGTTTTCTGAGATGATCAGTCCCAGGTATTCTACTTTTGTCTGTTCGAAATCGCATTTTTCTGGTTTAAGATAGAGATGATTTTTTCTCAGGATTTCTAACACACGTCGCGTCGTTGCTCGGTGCGTTTCTATATCCTTTGTGAATATCATGATATCATCTAGATATATGATTACTAATCCTTCATCTATCAACTCTCTAAAAAGCGTGTTCATCATCATTTGGAACGTGGCGGGGGAGTTTGTCAGTCCGAAGAACATGACTAGTGGTTCAAATAATCCCCGATTTGTCCTAAACGCCGCTTTATGCTCATCTCCTTCTCTCATTCGGATGTTATTATATCCCCATCTTACATCCAACTTTGTGAAGTATTTGGCCCCACTCAATTTGTCTACTAGTTCCCCGATCAACGGAAGTGGATATCTATTTTTGATGGTGATATCGTTTAGCTTCCTATAATCTTGAACTGGTCTCAACTTCCCGTCTTTCTTTTTAATGAAGAAGAATGGTGATGCGAACGGGGACTTCGATGGTCTTATCTGTCCCGATTCCAGATTCTCTTTTAGGAACGCATCTAGTTCTTCTTGCTCTCCTCTTGCCAATGGATAGATCTTGCAATCTAGGGAGTGATCTCCCGGTATTAGTTCGATTGCGTGATCCCATTGTCTTCTTTCAGGTAATGTGTCAAACTCCTTTTTGTCAAATACGTCTTTGTATTGATGAAGGTGTTTTGGCACTATCTTTTCGAATCCTCCTTCTTTTTGATCTTTGCCTGCGGCTTCTGCTAGCTTCTGTGCCATTGTGCCTTGGGCTCTAATATGGTAATATTGATCGTCGATCGTGGCATCTTCGAAATTATGGAGATTCACCTGTATCATCCTCTCATCTTCTCGTAGCTCCTCAAAGAATATTTCCGGATCCTCCTCTGGATCAGAGATTCGGATTCTCGGTCTACATTCTTCAGGACACCTTTCAAAGGTCAACTTCGATTCTTTCCAGTCTATTTTAGGATTATGTTTGTTC